TATTTAAAAAAGGACTTCTTGTTGTCCTTAATCCGGGAAGCTAGTCCCAGCTCCATCTCTGCCTTGGCCTTCCTGACTGCCCCCCTGCATCTAGAGTACTGTGTCCAGTTTTGGCCCCCCCCACTACAGAAATGATTTGGACAAATTGAGGGGAGGCCAGTAGAGGGCAGTGAAAATGGTTAGGGGCTGGGGCACATGACTGATGAGGAGAGGCTGAGGGAACTGGGCTTATTTAGTCTGGAGAAGAGAAGAGTGAGGGGGGGATTTGATAGCAGCCTTCAACTCCCTGAAGGGGGGTTCGAAAGAGGATGGTGATACACTGTTCTCAGTGGTGGCAGATGACAGAGGAAGGAGCAATGGGCTCATGTTGGAGCCAAGGGGAGTTTAAGTTAGATATTAGAGAAAAACCTTCCAATGAGGAGGGTAGTAAAGCACTGAAACAGGTTACCCAGAGATGCTGTGGGATCTCTATCCTTGGAGGCTTTTAAGGCCTGGCTAGACAAAGTCTTAGCTGGGATAATGTAATTTGGGATGGTCCTGCTCTGAGCTGGAGGTTGGACTAGATGGGACCTCCTGAGTTCCTTCCAACCCTCATTTTCTATGATTCTATGATTCTACCGCTGCTCTCAGGTCAACTGGGAATAGCAGTAGGGGCAAGGAAGGCATAGCATGATTTGCCCACCCTGGTGTGTGCAGGTAGGCTGGGAGCCAGGGTACAGCCACACCTGCAGTGCCAGGCACTGCTCCCACACCCCACTTTTCTAAATTCTCATGCCTAGGACAGGTATGTATCATATCAGCAGTGGTAGGTTTTGAGGAGGACAGGGCTTAGCATCTCCACCCACCCAAGTTCTCTGACTCACTCCAGAACAGGAAGTTCACCAGTGGGTTAGCTCTGGATTCATTCCCAGCAAGCCTTTACTGCTCATAGAGGTGTTAGGGGTGAGTCTGAGCAGCCCCACTGGCAAATTGTTTCCTTTGGAGTAGGTCAGCAGACTCAGGTGGTGGGGTGTGCTCAATACATGCTCCCTAGGACAATATAGACAAGGCCATAGTCTGACTCTCAGCCACTGAGTTTTGCCTCGTGTCTATTGTGTGGAGCCCAGTACCTGTTGAGGAAAGCATAACTTGTACCATGGCATCTGGCCTTGATTTTAAAATATCGAGAGAGAAAGAATCTGCTGTTTCTCCTGGGAGTTTGTCTCAGTAGTTAATTAGCCTGGGATCCTGTTTTTTTCTGTTTAAAAACCCCAAGTTTTCTGATGATAATCCCCAAGTCTCGGATTAAAACCCCCCAAATCCATGCTTTTCCATGATTAAAATGAAGCTCCACTATATATACCTATAAGTATCCATTGAACACAATGCTTTATTGATATTTACAATTTATTTACAATTTTAAAGCAACTTGGAAGCCTACCAATGCCTCTATCATTATAATACAATAAATTCTAAATACCTATATATTTTGGCATTTGATTTTGGTTTTTTTATCATGGAAAATCACAGCTCCCCCTGCCCCCTTCACTCACTAGGACACTGGTCCAGCTGTGGCTGTTCCCCCAGCCACTTTGTGGTGTTGGGTAGCCCTGATATGCCAGTGCCCTGCCCCTCCTCCTGCCCCTGCCATTGCCCCTCACTCCCAAGCCACAGCCTCCTGGCCCTGCTGGTGCCCCTCATTCCTGACCTGTTGCCCCCTGCCCCCAGGCCCCCAGTGTGTGAGGAAGGGGCTTGGGAATGGGGGGAAAGGAGGGTGTAGGCACAGGCCATTCTTGTGGGGGACACAGGTGACATGGCAGGGTCATGAGGGGCACATGCCCCCTGAGATTTCAGCACACATACTGGGGCGTGGGGCTGCATCTGGGCCAGATCAGCTCCAGGTAGGAGCTGCCTCCATAGCCCAGCGGGCAGGACCTGGTGCAGGAGGGATCATCATGCCAACATAGTGAGGCATAGCAGTGGCAGCGGCAGCAATGTGGAGTTGTGTCCCCTGCTGCTGCCAGGTGGGCAAGGGGCAGCTCACTCTGGTGGCCATGGTGGCACGGTACTCCCTCCTGTACAGAGTCCCACCCACTGGGCTATGGAGGGGGCTCATTTGGAGCTGGTGTGGCCCGGCTGCAACCCCATGCCCCACACACCATGGCCCCCTCCACTACATTGCCTGTGCTTCCTCTTCCCAGCGACATGTGGCCTGTGCCCCAGTGAGTCACCTGAACTGGTTTTCCAACTGCTTACACAGGTGTATGTGTAATTTCTGTCCCTAGCCCATGAATCCATAAAGGCTAAAGGTCCTGCCACAGAAGTAGGCTGTCCAAACCGTTGCTTCTCTCTGTACTGAAGCATTGGAGTAGATATGCCTGAACTGCATGGAAGCAACATATATTTTCTAAGCCTATGCAAGAAACGCAACATCATGCCCAGAGGACTGAACATCTACAATCCTTGACTACTACACACAACTCCAAATATGCTAAACAGCTATGTAGCAGAACTTCAAAAATACTTAGAAACCATCTCCTCACATAACCTACTCCAAAAGAGATCAACTCAAGAAGGAAATCAATACTTTACAATAACTTAAAAGAGAGAAATCCAGATATCTTCCCAAACATACAACTACTAAAGACTACCAAATAGTTTTTGCAACATCCATCCAACATAAAAAGAAGAAATTGAGCCAATTACTATAGGAACAACTTTCCCAGACGCAAAACAACCATCAGCAAAACAACACCAATACTGTACATCCTATCAACCTCATACTAGATGAAACTGAAGGAACCAGTTAACCCTCAAATATTATCAATCTCTCCATGCACACACTTACCACAGCTGAAAAATATATCTTCTCTAACAGCCTTAATTTCTGTCTGGAAAAATACCCTAATAAGAAACTACAATGTGGAGAACTAGAAGAATTTTTCTGACACCTCTGTGTTGAGGAATATTTCCACAACCAAAACAAATCCATTTTCAACAACACTTCATCCTGTGACAACACTGAAGAAAAGATTAACACCAAAATCCCCATCAAATTGGACACCTCACAGTGAATGAAATTGAAACCTCGACCACTATATTGACTGCTTCAGGAAAAGAATAAACAATGAAATAATCAACAAGAAACACCACCATAACAACCTCTCCCTCTCGGAGAGAAGAGCCATAGCATCTTTAAGATCCAAACACCAAATAGTAATAAAAGCAGCAGATAAAGGAGGAGCTATAGTTCTCCTTAACCATGAAGACTACATAAAAGAAGCCAACAGACAACCCTCTGACACCACCTACAATGAAAAACTAGGGGTAGATCCAACTTCTCTTTTCACCTTAAAACTCAAAACCACCATTATATCACTTCTATCTGAACTACAAGAAAAACTACAGAACTTGATCCTCCCCTTCCCCTCCACTACCCAGTCTAGGGACTTTTTACATGCTCCCTAAAATCCACAAACAAGGAAACCCAGACACACCTATTCTATCCAACCATGGAACCTCAACTGAGGAAATATCAGGTTTCATCGAATCCATCCCAAAACCTCTTGTCACCCAAAGACCGAGTTTTGTCCAAGACACAACAGGCTTTCTATGAAAACTTTAAAAACATAGATCACCTTCCTATAAATACCCTCCTAGCCACCATGGATGTTACCAGCTTATATACTAGCATCCCACACCAGGATGGCATCCAAGCATGCCTTTCATATCTACAAGAGCAAGATTACAACTCAGAATACAGACCTGAAAATATTACTGAACTCATACACTTCATCCTCACACACACCAACTTCAGTTTTAATAACCAACACTTCCTCCAGACCATGGACACCGCTATGGGCACCAACATGACCCCACAATATGCCAACCTTTTTATGGCCCACCTGGAAGAAGAACTCCTCAAGAACTGCACCATCAAGCCCATACTATACCTAAGATATATATAGATGACATCTTGATTGATTTCAAATTCAATAACTATCACCCCTTCATCAGACTCTCTCCTGAATACTCCAGCACCAACATTTCCTTTTTAGACATTATGATCAATATCCAAAATGGAAAAATAAAACCCAGCATAAAGAAGAAATCTATGGACCAACATACATATCTGCACAGAACCAGCAATCACCCTAAATGCACCAAGAAAGCTGTAATATACAGCCAAGGCCTCTGATACACTGATTTTGAACTGAGGAGAATACCCATGATTGTCACCTCATAAATCTCAAAAGGGTTTTCACCCAACAAGGACACTCCTCCAGAGAGAGAGATCATAGTTTTGAAAGAGCCACCTGGATACCACATGAAAAATTGTTGCAGTAAAAAAAAACCGCACGAATCGCACCCCATTAGTGACATATGACATTATCCTTCCCTGGAACCTATACAAAAAATCCTCAAACAGTTGCAACCCATACTAGAAGAAGACCCAATTCTTAAAGAAATCCTTGCCAACCTCATCACCAGAAGCAAATTTCCTCTGGCCCAAAGCACACTGAATGGATCCAGACCATGCCAGGATGAAAAATGTAAAACCTACCAACACATCTTCACTACTCCCACAATAACCACACTCCATAACAGAACCATCACCATTCCTGGATCTTATACCTGCACCTCCAGAAATGTAATATATCTCATCCAGTGCACTGAATGACCTGATGGAAAACATGTAGGAGAAACCAAACAGCAACTGCGTACCAGAATGAACACACACTGAAAATCGATCAAAGACAGAAATACTCAGTTGTGTGTGTGCACTACTAACAAAGCACCCGCTCTCCAGTCTCTCAGTTCTAATCCACAAAGGGAATTTACAAAACACCTTTCATAGACAAGCCTACGAATTTCACTTCATAATCTACTGGATACAAAAAATCATGGAGTAAATGTAGATATTGGATTTATGACACATTATATAACCTGCTTGCCATCTGATAACCCCAGGTATCCCATCTGCATTTTACCAGCTACATTCTATCACCAGGTCAGCATTCCCTCTTTTCTCCCCTACCTACCTGTCTCACGCCTATTATCTCATTCCCACTGATCCTCATTGCCACACATTTGCATTTTCAGACCTACATGTTGCATTTTGGCTTCTATTCCACCCAGAAGAGCTCATGAAACACCAGCAGGCTCTCCCTAGGTCTGAAGAAGGATGTTTGTACCCAAAAGCTTGCAAAGAACATTTTTTCCAAGTATTTAGTTGGTCTAATAAAAGATATCACATTTACCCAAAGAACCTTGTCTGGAAACAATGTCTGGTTCAGCACAATTGCCTCATAACAAAGCCTTTCATTTGTTTAAGGCTTCAGCCCACAGGAGCTAGAGTGACTTGTTCTGTAGAGCTCTCTTTTTGGGGCTGTGGTGGTAAATTGGTATTGTGTAGTGATGTCTCTAGCAGACTAATACTCGCTACTCTGGCATGTGGGAATGATTCCATAAGAGAAGGCAGTACTGATTTTAATTATCAGGACTAATGGTTGTAATATAGTAATAGCCAGAGACCCCAGCTGAGATTGAGATACCATTGCTCTGTGCACTTCACAAACCTAGGAGAGAAAATCCTTTCCCTAAAGAACTACTGTTTAGATAGACTAGACAAACTGGGGCAGGAGGGGAAACAGGGAGTGAAATAACTTGCCCAAAGTCGCACAGTGGGGTATTAGCAAAGCAGGGAATTACAAACCTAGTGCCCTGGGTCCTATGTCACCACACTATCCATGGACCACATTGCCTCTCAGATAACAGCCCAGCCAAATCTGGCTCTCTGAGCAGTAATTAACTATTAATACTTCTGTAAGAAGGGCCCTTCTGCAATGAGCCAACTACAGCAAGGTTCACTTCAGTTCCAGGCTTGACAAATCTTCTTTTCTGACCTCGTTTCTCTTCCCCAGAATGTGTGTTATGGCATTGCCAATTTAGGTTGCTCCAAGTTCAGGAAGTGTGATGAGCAGCAGTCTTTTCAAGCAGGTGGGAGGGAGGAATTGTGTGCATCCAAAATCTTCGCTTAGGGCTGGCTTCCCACTGTCAGAAGGGCATGTCAGTATTTACTTAAGGGAAAGCACATTTCCTGATTGCTACAATGTGATTTCTGTGCTTGCACTTGGCAATAGTTCTACAGTAACATTCAGCAGGACTTTGCATATTTCCTTTGATTCTAATTTACGAACTTGTTTTGCCCCTTGCAAAGTTAAACTTGTTTGTCTGTTGCTTTCCAAGTTAGTTCTCCACATCTCTTAGCACCTGGTGAAAAGGCGCATTGTAAGGCAAATTCATAGCAGTTATGAGGATGGATCAATAAATGCAGGGCTGGGCAATCTGCCACATGAGTGCCACAAGTGGCATGGGCAGCCTGTGTGTGTCTCGTGTAACAGATCAGGGACGGGACAGTAGATAGGGCAAAAAGCAGAGCAGGAGATCAGGCAGGGAACATAGGGCTGGGAGCAGAAAGCGGAGCAGCAGATTGGACAGTGAAAGGGGATTGGAGTGGCACTTGGAGGGCATGGCGATAATTTGTGGCATGCCTGCCAAAAAGGTTGGCCCCCCACTGGATTAAAGAATCTGAATGTGCTTGTGAAACAAGGATTTTCTTCCTTACAGCTACAGGTAAAGAAGAAGCAGATTACCGGATCAAAACCTATGGGGTATGATGAGATTGCTGTGGACGGAATGAGCTTTGCACTGTTGGTCTGGTTGAGTTCTGCTCAGATGGCTTCATCTGATGGCCCACAGATCTACCGTTCTATCCTAACCAGCCTCCATCCAACCAGACATCTCTCTCTGGGACTTCTGCTCTCAGGTGGCTTTATTTTCTCCATCCACCTCTCCTCTGTTGCCTTTGGTCACATCACTATAAGTCCTCTCCTTGGAACCTGAGGGCTAATCTTTGACCCTCCTTACACTGTGATCTTGGGCTGTGTTCAGACTTAATGGTTGCTTTCTCTTTGTGCAGGAGCACTAGGCTAGAACTCAGGGGAACTTGTGTTCCCAGCTCTGCTGTGGGCCTGAGAGGTTATGTTGGACATATCATTTCAGTCCTCTGTGTCTCATTTTCCACACTGGGGAATGCTACTGAGTACTGACCATCTCTGAAGCACTTTGAGATCTGCTGTTGAAAGCTGCTGCATAGGACCTAGGTGATACTATCTTAATCACCCCTGGCTGTGGCACTCCTGACCTCTGTTCTACTCAGTCCTTGGAAAGGAGGTCTTTCATATAACCTACTCCCAAAAGAAAGCATGAAGTGATGCCTATCATGGTTCCCTAGAAGGTCAAACTTGGCTCTTTTAGGCTAATCAAGGGAACAAGCCTTGGTAGTGCTGGAGGTACTGTACCCAGGACATCTTGCCTTAGGTTATACTCAGAGCCCAGCTCTGGGGTACCTATGACTTGGCTGATCCAGGGGACAGGGCTGGTGTGTAGGAAGAGGTGGGAATTGTGAGTCTCTCTGCTCAAAGGTGGTGGATGTTCATTCTCTTGGGTGTTCTTTCCCCAGGAGGGTGTCCAGCTTCTGCTGCTTTTTAAAGGAGCTGCATTGTGTCTCACGGGTAACATTATTGTCATGCAATGTAGCAATTGCCATGGTAATTTTTTTTAATATTTAAGGACTAGCAAAAAATGAATCGCCTGCATGGCTTTTTGGGTGTCTGTGTGTGGAATGTGGTAGGGCTGTGTGAAACAGCACTGTTCCGTTCCAGCTTCAGTTTTGAAGTCTGGACAGAACAGTGTTTTGTATTGAATAAAATTTTGAGTCAAAACAGCCTCACTGTTTCACTTTGTCGAAACAGTGAGGCTGTTTTGACCCTGTTTCAACAGTTTTGCCAGACCATGGGGCTGGGGAAAGGAGTTCCCAACCCCAGCCGGGGGCAGGAAGTCAGCCCAGCTGGACTGACTCCCCAGATCACACCAGGGATGGAAAAGCAGCCCAGCTGGACTGTCTCTCCATCTCCAGCACTAGATCGCGCCCAGCTGCTTCCCTGACCCTACCCCCGCCCCCCCGCTGTGATATAACACTGGGGATGATGAGGCAGCCCAGCCCCCCCCCATGATCAAGTGCCAGGGATGGAGAGACAGTCCAGCTGGACTGACTTTCCATCCCCAGCGCTATGGTTGAAACATTTTGATTTTCGAAACATTTCAGCTAGCCTCATTTTGTTTCGAGGCTATTTTAATGGCCTTTGTTTCATTTCAGTTTTGCTGTTTTGACCTCAAAATGAGTCAAAACAGCATTGAAATGAAATGGTTGTCGAAATTTTGCACAGCCTTAGTATGTAATTCTCCCCAGACTCTCAGAAATGAAGGACCTGTCCCTTCTTCCCCCTTTTCCTGTTTCTTTCAAATGGAAGGTGATGTATATATTACCCATGAAGAGAAGCATGCTTGACTTCTTCCTTACTGGCCCCTTTTTGAACCATCTCTTCCTGGAGGGCAAGACAGACAGAAGCCTGCTCACAGAGAAATGACAAGGTGATTAATGAGCCGGAAAATACATATTCCTCATCCACACCAAAAATAAACATGTGCCAGACTTCCTGAAAGAATTACCTGGAACAGCTCTGAGCAGAGAACATTTTCATTTGGGTCAAACTTTCAAAGTATTTTTAAAGATGAAAAACAAAGCAAAAAACCCCAAACAAACCATTTTTACAAAAAAAAAAAAATCTTTTGATTTTTTTTTTCTAAGAAAAAGGAAAACAAAATCAAAGCGTTTTTTAAAACAAGTTTTAATTTCCTATAGAAAATAGTATTTTTTGACATAACTCTATGATGGGGCTTTCCCCATAAAGTTCAGGTTGTTCCCACTGACTTCTCTGGGACCAAGGGTGGGAGGACCAGCCCAGTGCTCGTGTGTGGTGGTAATCTCACTAAAATAGACCCTGTCTATTAGCCTTTTTCTTCTAAGCCCTTAAACAAAAGCAGGATAAATTGGGCCTATTGAAGCCTTCTGACTCTTTGTTTCAACTTCATGTTGGCATTTGGAAATGGGGGACAAAGCTCAAGGCAGAACATTGACCATAGGCTTGTACCTGTATTGCAGGTCCTCCAGGTCTTCTCATGGTTAGACCACCACAACAATTTGTGAATGCCCTGATGATCTTGTGGTGACAGCACTGGCTTTGTTTTCAGGACATTAGGGTTCATTTCTTTGCTCTGTGTGTAACCCTGGGCAAATTCCTTCATTTCTCTGTGTATCAGTTCCCTGTGGGGCTTTCTTGTACTCTGCGTTGTGTCTGTTTAGCTTTGAAACCTGTTGGGTGACTCTTCCTATCAGCACAGCACCTCCCATGAGGGGCCTCAGTCTGGGTTGGAAATTGGAAAAGCGGCATCCCTCATTCCAGTTCCCAGATCGCAGTGGTATGTAACCACCTTTGCAATTGCTGTCCTTCCCAAGAAAAGTGTCTAGCAGACTCTCTGGTCAGTGGTGTCCCACAGGCACACACAGACAGGTGATACTGAGCACCCACTGGCCACAGCAGGGATCAAGAACTGGCAGTCCTCAAAAGTGGCAAGTGCCTTACGGAGCTACGTGCAAGTACCTCCTTCCAGCCACAGCTGAGAACAAGCCCTTCTCTGCAAGCCAGTAGAAAGATATCAAAGCCCTGGGGATCTGATTCGGTGCCTTCTGCATAACTTAATCTGGCTGTATCAGGCCCCATGCAGTGAGCCCTAGCTCAAGTGGTGGTGTTGCAGAGCTTCCCTAAGGGCCAAATTCGATTCTTGTTTTGACAGATCTCCCTTGGATTTTAGTGGGTGTCTAGCATGAGTGTGGACATTAAACAGTGGAGACCAAATTTAGAGGTGATGGGCTTGGCTGCACTGGAGTGAGTCACTATCAGTGTATGTGTGCTAGTGTAACTTGCTGAGCATAGGGCTAGCAGGGAAAGCAACTGAGTTGAGGATATAAGGAGCTGAAAGATCAATAGGGAAATCTCTACCTCACTGTTCTCAGGGGCATTAGGCGGCATATAGGCATAGGCCCTGGTGCTATGCGTTGTATTTATGTGGTGGATACCTGCACCCAAAACAGTGTGCTTCACATGGAGACAGGGGGCTGCCTATGTTGATGTGTTTGGGGGTCTATGGTATTGCTCTAGGAAAAGTGCAGGAAGGGCCCTGCAACCTGCTGAGTGTTTAGCACATGGGCCTGGGTAAAGTGCCTATGAGCTGATGATGATGACACTTGCCTTTGTTTGGCCCTGAATGAACAATGCATTGGTCCCAGACTTGTTCACTGATTTCTAGACTGTCTCAGAGCAGGATGCTTCCCACCACCAGTTTGATTTGTCAAAAGGAAAAGCAAAGGAAACATCAAACCCAATGCCTGAGAAAGAGATGGGCCTTGAACTCCCTCCTGGAGACCAAATAAGTCTGACTTTGTCTGAGCAACGGAGGCTAGGACAAGTTGTAGCCAAAGGTTTTTTTGTTTTGTTTTTGTTTGCCTAGCACTCTCCTGTCCAAAGAGCAGGGTTTGGCTGGTGTTATCTGCCCCTTTTGAATTAATAGTAAGAAGCCTGATGTGCTCAGAATACTCCTGGATACTTGCGCACTGTTTTTCTGGTATGCACACGCCTCAGAGCAGTTGGCCAACCTCAATCGCTTTAGCAATGAGGAAACCAAGGAGGCTGGAAATGAAGTGGCTTACCTGTGATCACCAGGGATCCTGGTTTGCTCTGTCTAAAAATGGCAAATTCTCTGATAAAAATCACAAATTCTCCTGATTAAAACCCCCAAAATCTGTGTGTTTCGTGTTAAAATGAAACGCCACGATCGATCTATCTATCGATCTATCAGTTGAACACAATATTTTATTGATATATTTACACATCTAAAGCAATTTTGAAGCCTATCAGTGCATCAATCACTATAGTAAAACAAATACTAAATACCTATACATTTTGGCATTGATTTGGGGTTTTTTATCATGGAAAAATCAGAGTTCCCCAATCCCCCTTTGCTCACCACGACATGGATCCAGCTGTGACTGTCCCCCTTGCCCCACTGCTTTCTGGAATTGAGCAGCCCTGGATATGCCAGTGCCCTGCCCATGCTATTGGCCCTCACTTCTCACCCAGAGCCCCTGCTGGTGCTCCTCACTCCCTGCCCCCCAGCTGTAACAGAGGGGGCCCCCAGCTGCCAGAGCTATGAGGCCAGGGACCTGGGTCTGCAGTCCCCTGTCCCCCACAGCAGTGCTCGAGCCCCAGCTGCTGCATGTGGGAGGTAGTGGCTGCTGCAGCGGAGCAGAGCACGAAGCCCAACTCTCCTTCCCTCCCATGGGCAGCATGGCTGGAACAGAGCCCAGGGAGGGGGGCAAATGCAGGCTGCCCGCAGGCTTTCACCCTGCTGCCCTCCCCTGGGGCCTCTGCAGCCCAGCGGGTGGGACCAGGTGCAGCAGGGCTGAGTGGGGAAGCTTGGTGCCGCGACTGGGAGCTCCACATCACCACGGCGAGGCATCCACTGATTGTCCAGCAGCAGTGAGGGGCACAACTGTGTTCCACCACCCCTGCTGCTGCTGGGTGGGCAGGGGGCACTTCACCATAGCGATGTGGGCTTGCAATAGTGGCACTGAGCTTCCCCACCCTGCTCTGTCCTGCCACGCCAGGTCCTGCTCAATGGGCTGTGGGGGCCCTGGGGGAAGGGTAGCAGGGTGGGGAGCCTGAGCCTGTAGTGGGCAACCCACCCCACACACAAATCGGGGAGGGGGTATGTACTCCCCCAGACCCTGCCTGGAAGTGTGCACAGTGGTGGGGAGCCTCTCGCAGCTCTGTTCCACTCATTGCCTGGGTCCTGTGGGGCACATTCTGGCCCCAGGCCCCAAACTCCATGCACCACCCCAGCTTGGCACCAGTGCCAGCCCTGCCCAACTCCGTTATGATGTGGGCCTCAGCTTCTGCCTGCCCCCCCACCTCCAGACTTACCTGCGGGAGCTGCTCTCCAGGCTGCCTGGCGGCCATGTACATGTGTATGTGCACATGGCACCCCTGCTGATCACCCTTCTTTCACTCCCCACAGCCCCACTCTGCCAGCCTGCAAGGGGAAGCCCACCAAAAGCCCTGGGGTTTTTTAAGAGGAGGCTGGATGACCACCTTATTGGGGTCGTTTGACCCCAGTGCTCTTCCTGCCATGGCAGGGGGTCGGACTAGATGATCTGCTCAGGTCCCTTCCGACCCTAGAAACTATGAAACTATTTCCTGTGTTTTTCTCCTTAAAACGAGAAAACCAGGGTTTTACCGCATTTTTTCAGGGCTAATGGAAAACCCAGGTCTCTGGTGATCACCCCATCAGCTTATGGCTGTGCCAGGAAAGGAAGTTCCTAGACCTGACACTTTTATCTGGATTTGTTGCCTAGGAAATTCTTCATGGTTCTAGGCTGCCTCAGTTTTCTTCTGCCCCATGACTGGATGAGCCTTTTGTATGCAGGGTAAAGGAAACCACATAGGTGTCCAGGGTGAGCCCCTGCCTAAATACACAGCTGCAGAACTGATCCAGGATAATTTTGTTTTCTGTGGATATTGTTGATAACAAGAACAGTGGATCCCTCCTACAGCAAAGGGAACAGAGAGGATTGCATGTGATTGACAAGAACCCAGAGTATTGTTTGCACATATATTTCCTTTGTGGCATTTGCTCATCTCTTGCTGACTGTAACAATTCCTTGAGTCCCTGATGACAATCCTAATTGCAAAGAGCTGAGATTTCAGCATGGAAAAGAAGACCCATCTTGCCCCAGTGGCTGCTCATTATTTCACTAAAATTATGTCACTCACCGTGATACTCCTTTTGTTTCAGTGGATGATGTTATGAAACAATACCCGTTAAGCTAATCACTATTGGCTTGCTTTATACTTCATGTCTTTGATGTCTTTGGTAGTTCATGTAAGGATCTGCCTCTATTTTCTCTTGACTGACAACGCCTTTTCTATATATTTGAGCAATTAAGCAGCCCAGTAGCAGCTGCTAAGGAGTTCGACTAAGTGCAAACCTGACAAAGACTTCTGCACAGGTCTCCTGGCATCCGTGTTGACATTCTGAAACACCATCTGCAATTTAAAACTGCAACGGGACACTTGGATCCAACAAGTTAGGTGAGTGTGTTTCTGTGTCGGCTCCATGTCACTGCTCACGATTAAACTAGGAGGCTTTTGCGAAGGAGACAACACAGAATAAGTATGTATTTCTGTTGCTGCCATTAGAAATAAGGAATGTTACTACAGTAGGAAAGGTTACACATGGTAGAATACGGGCACCTAATATGCATGCACCTGAGTGCATATACATATGTAGTTTACGTACCCACACATACGTTCATGAAGGTTTCACCATGGCCCACTTGCCCTGATGTTAAGCTTTGGAAAGATGTTGCAAACTTCTAGGTTAACAGGAGTTTAGATCATCAGGCTTCTGTATATTTCCTAGGTTCCCTAATAGCATACTGGTTGCATAGCTCCATTGACTTAGTCAACACAAATTTATTGAAGCTGATGATGTGGCTTGGTGCATGCAATCCTATTTTCTTGAGTGCAGTCTGTTGTTCAAGGTTAAATGTCAGTGCCTGAGGTTTTTACATGGGCAGCTATCTGCAATGCCAGCTTGAGCAGTGTAGGGTTTTGGGTTTTGATTCACCCTTTTAGTCTGTTTCCACCTCTCTTCTGTACCAGGGGAGCTGCACCTGAGAGGGTGGTTGATTCCTTCCCCAGTGGGCTTTACCAGGGGGAAGGAGTGATGGTGGGGGAGCAAGTTTCATAGGAACTTGGCTGATGGATGTTGCCTGTGTGAGGCTGAGCTGAGGCACTTTTCAGATGCCTGGGCCAGACCCTTCCATGTCTAGGAACATCCGTTTTCAAGGCCTCATTGACAGGGAAGCTGCCGCTTGCAATGTGCGTGGGTGGGAGGTGGCATGCATTGTCAAACATTTAGAGTCTGCAGAGCAAACACGTGTGTCATATATTCCCGGTATTTGTAATAGGTGTGCTATTGTAGAGCCCCCTGGCAGGAGAAAGGTTTGACTGAAGATCAGTGATCCATAGAGGGTGGGGAGGGAAGGAAGCAGTCAACTGGGGACCATTTTAGAGGCAAAGATGGTGAATTCTCCCCAATTACCATCAACTACTCCTTGTCCTCATCTGCTTCTGAAACCGTTGGTCATTTTAATGGGCTTTTCAATGGGTTATGAGCAGGAGAACTTGGATGTAAGGCTCAGTTCAAAGACCATGTTTTAAATCCATTATGGATTCATACCTAAATAGGCCATATTGTGGCTGGCCCCTGCATGTGTGTGCTAGCAGATTGGTAGGATCCATCAACTCTTGGCAGCTTAAAGACAATTCTAGCTTTCTGTGAGACATGCAGCATCCCTTGGCCTCTGCTGTTCTCTTCTTCTGGCTGGGGTGTTTGGTGAGCGGGGCTGTTTGGCTGCTGTCTCCATTCCTGTGCCTTCAGCTCTCCCCTAGTTCTGGATGAAGCTGGAGCTCAACTTCTGTAGGGCAGCCACTGTTTTTGCTCTGCTTGGGGAGTGGAGAAAGCCGTGTTCTGTGTGGCTTGGCAAAACCCACAACTAAAGTTAAGGCTGCTGTTACAAACCTACTGCTATGTGAACCTAGTCGGCACCACTTGGATTGTGAGGCGGGAGGGATAAGATGTCCCATCTTCTCCTTGCTGCCAAGGCACGTGGCTAAAGGGAATGGTACCATTTTGTCCCCAGTCCCAGCATGGCAGACATGCACACTATGCCAAGTATATAAACTCCCCAGGTTGGGAAGAGCAGGTCCACTCCTCTCACCTCTGTTGGCCTTCTTTCCATCTCAGTGCACAGCATGAAGCTCCATCACGTGGTCCTGGGCTCTGTGCCCCTCCTGATACTGGCTGGCTGTGTCAGCGCGCTGAAGCCCTCCAACATTAACCTGCGCACATTCATTGGCTGTGCTGTGCGTGAGTTCACCTTCCTGGCTAGGAAGCCCGGTTGTAGGGGGCTGCGTATCACCACGGATGCCTGCTGGGGACGCTGTGAGACTTGGGAGGTGAGTATTACCAGAGGAGTGTGTAAGGGATGTGTGTGGCCCAAGGAGCTGGCACTAAACAGCTTGACACTTCATGTATTGTTTTCCAAATAGAAATTGGTAAGAGGTGCAGTGGGCAGGTGTCATTATTCCCCTGGCATCAGGGGGGCTGGACTTGTTGTGGAGACCCTAGGCTTAGGACTCAGCAAGTTCTGTATTTGGTTCCCAGCTATGCCATAGATTTTCTGTGTGCCCTGGGCATGTCTCAGCCTCTCTCTCTCACGTGAAAAACCTTTCTTCCCCTAGGCAAATCATGCTTTGATGTTAAGATCTTTGGAACGGGGGCTTCCCTTGCAATGCCTTTGTGTAGCATCTAGTAGAGTGGGGCATCTCGGCGCTGCTATAATGCAAACAAATAACGACAAGAACACGAACGTGCTGAGTATACAAGCATGAAGGCAAAGACACTGCTGTGGTGAATGGTAGTCTTAATATAAGTGCCAGGAGCTGAAAAGTTTGCCTTGAGCCATTAATTTTAACCACTGTCTACGAGACACACACACATCATGTGGTAATGTTAATAATGTGCTTACGTAATACCCTCGTTATGCAATTTGAAAGCTTCTTGCAACTTAAACGCTTAGGGGAAAGAGTCCTTTATTACTTTACTGGAAGAAAATTCCTCTGAGATTAAAATGGAGCCCACGGTTCATGGGTAATATGTTTTGTTCCAGAAAAACCCAAATCCCAATGGCAATGTCTGTTTCTAATTTGCCCTCATTCAAATTGCACCCTCGTATGAAAACGAGGGGGTTCTGTTGTAGGGGGGCGGAGAGAGGGGGACTGACGGAAAACAAGTCTATACACATGAGGGAGGTGAAGCTCATGACTAATTTTAGCTTTCTTTAATGAAAACATTCAGTGGGCCAGGCCCTGATGTCCTTCTCAGGAAAAATCACATTGATTCAAGGGATTCCTTTTGCCCAAGCAAAGCCCAAGGACCTCTTCCTCCCAGTAACCAAGGTGAGGAGGAGCCAACTATTTCTGAGGTTTAGCCTTGACTTTCCTACACCTTCCTTCATTGCCAGGGGGAGGGAAGATGAGCTGCTGCTCGCTGGTGGAGGAGGTGAGGTGGGGATTCCTCCTCCTTAACCAAGGGATCCTTTGAGGTGATGTCTGCACTGCATTGGGCAGGGCTAGGAAGTGCCACCACAAAAACAAGCCCTCTTGCAACTCTGACTGGTGTTGTGCAAACACAACTGGAGACCCCTCGCATTCCCATTCTCTCCCAATGGGCTGGGCTCTATCTCCCAGTCCCTACTCTTCCTGAGCCACAGACGTATTTCATGGGACACTTTATTGGGTTGGGGAAGCTGGTCTAGAGGGAGGAATGGGCTCCTGTGGCACCTGCATTCCACCCCTTTCCCCTGACATTTGTGGTGGCATTTCCAAATGAAAAAAGAATTCGGTTCTTGTGTGTGGCTTTTTTTTTTTTAAAGTGAAATCTCAGCAGAAAGGAGAGACTTTGCAGGCAATATTTTGGTTAGTTGAAACTCCAGAGTTAGGAAAAACAGAAGATTATTTTTCAAGCAGCCCGAGTCCAAAGAAATCTTAGCTAAGTGAACCTAAGGGAAAAGGAACTACAATCAGTAGCAGGCCTGGACCTCACGCAGGACTAAGAAATGTTCCTTGATATGCTCTGTGCATCTGCTCCTGTCTACTCATTGTGTGTTGGCTCGTGATCAATCTTGTTGAAGTAACCAGGGCTTGGTGGGAGGAGGGGGCTGTAGGATCTTCATAGACTTCCTGCTTACCTGCTTCCCCTTTACCTGGCCTATGTCTAATGTCAGCATTTTCCCTCCTGCTAACAGAAGCCTATTCTGGATCCCCCTTACATCGAATCTCACCATCGAGTCTGCACTTACAATGAGACAAAGCTGGTGACAGTGAAGCTGCCAAGTTGCGCTCCTGGTGTGGACCCCTTCTACACGTTCCCTAAGGCCATACGGTGCGACTGTGGTGTCTGCTCTACTGCGACAACCGAATGCGAGACTTTTTGAACCCTCCTTCCCCAGGTGCACAGCTGCCTTGGCTATTGCAGGCCAGATTCTGCCCTGATGTTACACCCACTTTCACCCCAACATTGCAGGAGGTGTAAATCAGCACAGAATGTGACCACTGAGTCTAACTGCTTCTAATCACTAACTCTTCAGCACAGTAAAGGCATACTCTTCTCTTCTCTTCGCAGCCAGTTTAGAGAACTATTAATGTAGTATTGTAATAAGGAGCCTTATGACAATGTCGTGTGGAAAGTTATGATGCAGTTTCTTTTACCCAGAGGCATTTCACAGTATTTGAACTCACCTCATGCACAAAGCACACATTTAATAAGCAGTCCAAAACACCTACAAGTGGAGAACAACAGTGTTAAGGTAACAACAGCTTTGTTCATTTTGGTTTTTATTTCTTCTATTCTTGAGCTTGGGAATGTAAATGTACTCGGCAGAATTCCCTCGGTGCCCTTATAGACCAGCTTCCTTTCTCACTGACAAGGGTTTCAATCGGGAACAAAGCCACCAAAATACTTAGTGTCAGTAGTGAGACCAGGGCTTAGCTCTGGTTCATCAGGCGTATAAATTCATTAATACAAAGCTGTAACAACCCCTGTCACAGCAAAGCACTTAAGCACCAACTTATACTTTAAGCATGTGTTTAAGAGCTTTGCTTAATTGGGGCCACTGTGCATAAAATCTCATATCACGCCACTCATAAGGAAACCACCTCAGTCTTTGAAGAAAAATCACTGAACGCCTGAAAGAGAAAATCACATTTCTTCCCATACAGGGTGAGGAAATCAGTTGATTTAATGTAAATCAAAGAGCTTTGTATGGCTGATGAGTCTCTCTTAAGGATCTCTCCCAACTGAAAAGGGCACTAAGGGATGGTGTGATGGCCTTGGCTTTCCTTCACATGGAAGCAAGGTCAAGGAAGGCCTATGCTGGTTCACCCCACAGTCCCCAGTGCAGCTTTGCTCCTCAGAGAAACCTGCTCCATGTCGGGTGTCCATGCCATGGACCAGAGGAGCATGGCTAAGATGCCCACCATGCAGGGTTTAGAGCGGTGCTCCTCCTTACCTCCACAGACCGCCTATTAGGGAATGCTAGCGCTGTTTCCTTTAATGACAGAGGCCACAGAAATGTTTCTAAGAGTGATCCACAACTGCTCAGACCCACTTCAGGAGCTGAGGAGAGGGGATTGCAGGTCATAGCCACTGTAACAGCACATCCGTGGTCTCAGATGAGCTGCCCAAGTGCCTTTTGTACCCAGGCTATGGGTGGGAGTGGTTGATTTAGTATCTTCTCCCTCAGTTGCTTCCCCTGAAGAAACCTGGTTGGTTTGTATTTTTCTGACAAGAACAGGAAGTTTTCCTGACATGATCTGTTAGCAAGAGCGCATAAGGCAAAGTGAGTTTCCAGGGCAGACACTGTGGTATGCTTTTTGAACAGATTAATGTCCAACATTTTCCCTTCCCTACCTGGTTAGGGCCTGATATTAGACCAACCGAGAGGCTGAGTCTCCTAATTACATTCCCTTCTGTTTCCAGGATTCATGGTTGACACTACAAAGCAAGCTTACTTGAAGTTTCCTGCTCTCTTTGAAATACGTCTTTTAATTTAAGCTATAATTTATTAAACGCTGTAATTTTGTCTGTTGAACTGTAAAAGCTGCACTGTGGTTGGGTGATTTATATGATTCTGCCTTACAGAGTTGTTGACTAGATGAACTGCTGTGTGGAACAACAGCAGTAGCGGTTTTCTGCAACACTGACTTTAACTGCCTTTAAATAATCCTGCATTTGGTTTCAAGTTGCATCTCTCATCCTTCTGGTCTTGTTATTGCTCTAAATGGCATCATACATCATGGGTGACCTACAAATTAATTTCTGGGTCCTTAATAAACCTAAAATTGTAGCATCAAAGCAATTTAAGACATGCTTCCATCCTTATTTATGCATTGGGCTTCTAACTACTCGTTCAGTTAAGCTGCAGCAAGCTGTTGCCAGCAGGGGACTGCATGCTTAGGGGCAATCAGCACGGGTTCATCAGTGGCAGGTCCTGTCAGACCAACCTGGTGGCTTTTTATGATCAGATCACCAGATCATTAGATGCAGGGGTAGCAGTGGACATAGTCTTCCTGGACTTCCGGAAGGCTTTTGACACTGTCTCTCACCCCGTTCTCATTAAGAAAATGGG